GAGAGAGAGAGAGAGAGAAAATTTCGAAACTTTCACATTCAAAGCGCGCAAACTAAATCCTGTGCGCATGCGCGCGTGCCAGACGCGATTCCAGGGCACACGCGCTTGCGCACACGATCGCACACGTCACACGTGTAAAATGTATAAATGCTTGGTGAAATTCCGATTATTGTACAGATTTAATAACGGGGAGAAGGAAAAGAAACAAAAGACATAGAAGACGTAAAGGAGAACGCCACGAGTGGTATCGAATGTTTAGATGATGGCGACGATGCCATGCCGAAAAAAAAAGAAAAAAAATAAGAGAAAGAGAGAGAGAGAGAGAGAGAGAGAGAGAGAGAGAGATATCTATACATACAGACACAGACGATTTCTATTAATAAAGAGATGTAGGTTAACGAAGTATACTGCGGGAAGTAATTACAATCAATGTACTGGATGGTCCATGGCGATGTTAAAATTAGAAAAGTTTATGTCGTTTGAACCTTAGAAGTTTGCGCCTTCTTGCGCCGCAGGGCCATCCTATACGTATTAATTGGTTATCTGTCAATTATTAATTAAATTATATCGATTTCTTCGCCTTTAGTCAAGGAAAGAAACGAGAATGGTCGCGAAACTTCCTCATCGCACGTCGATGTTCAATTAACGCGCGCAATATATATACACTCTATATATATATATACACACACTCTTCTCGCGAATCTTCCTTCCATCCCCTACTCCGGTCTAAGGAGGAAGTTGGCGAAGAAGTTGTGCGATCGACGACTTCGAATAGTTTATTTTTCTATAGTGCAATCATTTCGTTTTCGTGCAATTCCCGACCCCCTTGTTGTTTTTTCATTGAAAAGTTTATATTCTCGCGCGCGCCCCTTCCTTCGAGAAAAGGAAACCTCGAAACCGCGCGTGTCTCGACGCTGCGTTTCGATGGGGAAATTTCGCCCGCCGGCTCTGTCGACGCTGTGTGTTACATAAAGCGCGACGATTGTTAGGCAAATTCATTTTACGAATCATCCTGTGACGGAAAAACGCTTACGCGTTTTTCTCTGAATGCGCGCGTTTAGAAAACGAGAATGAGAAAAAGAAGGGACGAGAGGGAAAATCGAGAGGACAATGTTGCCTAAAATCGGGTGGGCGAGGGAAGTTTTTTCAAATTTGTTGATACATTTCATACTTTACGATTAGGGATTATGGCCTATTACTAACTATTTCGCAAACCTTATCCGACGATTCGATCGTTTTTTTCCTTTTTTTTTTTTTTTTTTTTTCTTATTATTGCACGCCACACGTTATGCAACAATCACGGTGCTTAAATCGAGAGATATCCCATTTCGCAAAATGAAAGGTGTAACAAAGCAAAAAATAGAAGAGAGAGAGAGAGAGAGAGAGAAAGAAACGTCCCGATTGAATGAGATGTGCCATACTATTCATCGTATAAATAACGCTCTTACGCCCTCGAATCGAAAGGTGTGAGAACCCGTCGAGAACGAATCGAAAAATAGGACAAAAAAGTTATCGATCTTCGAACGAGAAATATGAATCGCCGTGCGTGAAGCCTGATAACGGGGGGAGTGTATTTTAAAAAAAAAAAAAAACGATCGAATCGTCTGCTCGCGCATTTGTGAAATGGAAAGTGACTTTTTAGAAAATGAACACTTTTTCGCGTGCTATCCATGAAAAAGCTACGTTAAACACGTCGCATCGATTACTGTGAGTATAGATGGAGGGGAAAGAAGAAGAAAAAGAAAAAAAAAAAAAGAAAAGGAAAAAAAAAAATAACGCTATTTCGAATTCGACTGAGCAACATATAGGAGATACGATTTATATATACCCCCATATTTTTCTCGATGTTAAAGCTTTTTTCTCAGAACGCGTTACGCGGCGTGTAATAATAACCTGCGAAAAAGGATTCAAGCGGAATCGTTGCGAATTTTTCGAATTATCGGCGTATCGTTTGTATAATATAGCGGGGAGGATCCGATCGACCGCGATCGTTATCACACGAGTATCGCAAGGGCGGTGGAGAAATGAAAAGAAAAAAAAAAAAATGGTGAAGAGGAAAAAGGATGATCGTTCTGAAGCGATGCGAACACTTCTGATTCAGACCGATCATCCCGTTCGATCATTTTTTAATCATCACTTTGAATTTCCACGAAACGAGTATCTACTTCCTTTTTTTTTTCTTTTTTTTTTTTTTTTTTTTTGTTTTTATTTTCTTAACGTTAATGTGTTAACAAAGGGAAGAGAATCGATGAGTTACGAGTCTGGGGGAAAAAAAAATCTGTTACGTTTTTTACAGAAGAGAGAGAGAAAGAGAGAGAGAGAGAGAGAGAGAGAGAGAGAGAGAGAGAGAAGAAG